GGGGTCTCTGGCCATGAACTCCTTGCCCCAAATCCACGGGCTAGATGGCAATTCCACGGTCGTGGATTTTTTTGCTTATGCCTAGGTATTTCGTGCTCCTCAGCCCTTCTGGCTTCCTCGAGGTGTACCCTCCTCTAAGCTTCGACGAGAATGACTTTGGGTCGCTCTTTAGACTTACATCAGTCCCTTCCCGTTGAAGAAGCTAGCTAGCTTTTCCCTCAAAGCTTGAGTGTTCCGACAAGAATCATCACTATGTACGAATTCCAAACAGAACCATTCTCAGAGTAGTTAACATGTGCCTTCGAGCAAAAAGATGGGTTCCACCTCCGTGCCCCGATTTTGCGCCACTTGCATTTTCTTTCTCCTTGGCGCAGTTCACCTCCATCTGTTGTTGATCTGCTCGAACTTCAGATGATGACAAGGGATTCAGCAAAAACTTTCAATCTCCTTTCTTAAACCGGTAGCGATTGTGCCTTCAATCATGAATAACCACTTGGTCATATTGCCATGGATGACCCAATAAGAAATGAGCAGCCTGCATTGCCAGCATCACACCAACTTTCACCTGCATAATCACCAATATGAAAACAAACCTTAGCCTTATTGTTGACTTTGATAGCTCCATAGTCGTTTAACCAATGAATAACACAAAAGTTCTGTCGGGTGAGTAGGGGGAAGGGGATCATAGCTTTTCATGTTCTTATAATTAATTGAAACTGAAAATAGGAGTAAAGGAGAGGCAATTGGGTTTTTCCCCAACCCCTTTAACGGTCACTTAACAGACAATTAGATGATAGGGTAAATTCGTTATGTTTTAATATTAGAAAGATTTATTTGAGCGAAATTTTAATAGATAGATACATTTGTTAATTAATTTACAATCATAGAAGGATACAAAATGTTATTAACCTAAATATAATCTATGTATAAAGTATAAACTTAACTTAATCCAGTGACTAATACACCCTAATCACATGACCTCGTCCCTTTAAAAGCAAGCCGCCCAATTTATCCCTCTTCAATTCCTTACGTCTATCTCTATGAAAATGGAAGGCCAAAGGCCCAGTTCATGAGAACAAATAGTTTAATAAGGCCCATGGTCGGTTGAGACAAGGTCGGCCCCTTCTTTTCTTCCTAGGTCTCCTCTAGCCCTGCAAGTCAATTCGGTCCACCCCTTGGTCTGACATCGGAGTTCGGAGAGGATCCGCCTGCCGGCCTCGGACGGTGTCTAGAAGATGGTATGCTTGGTAGCTCAAGAAAATGTCCAGAAGACCATTTTGCAAGTTGTTCAAAAGTGTACGAAAAACAGGAAAACTGTCAGAATTTGTCTAAGTATAAAACTTTGATCGTGAAGCCTACTTTGGAGCTCAATTCACGGAGCATGGATCGGATTCGGGTTAAGAGGCTTCTACCACATGAAATTAGGTATTTTGTTTTACAAAGGGAAGGCATTAGCTAAAGGAATGGATAGCTAGAAGGCTTCGAAAAAAGGCTCAAAGATTGTACGAAGTCACAAAAATCTGCCTTTGAGAAACAAAATTTCGTTTTCCTAATTCAACTAGGATTTCATTTAATTGTTAGATATTGATTGCTTTTTGAGTTGCATTGTGTTTAGAATTCCTTATTAGTTTGTTAGACGTAGATAGGTTTATTTAAACTCGTCTTATGCAATGTAACAGTGAGACTTTGATTAATAGAAAAGAAATCATTTGGTTTATTCAAGTTTGCGAACTTGTTTTGGGTTTGGTGGATTCCAAACTTGCTGAGCTTGTGTATCGATTGAATAGTCCCTTCAATCGTGGTCGAGCAACTACCCTTATATACCATACGAGCTTTCCCCAGGTGCAGAATTGTCCATTTGTTCTGTTTTATCCAAATTTTGTATTAAGAACGCGTTGTTCTTGATTCGAGTTCAATCAATCTTATTATTTTTTTATGGATCCCTACTTTTCAATAAGCTTATTGTTGACCACTAAGAAGGATCAATTAATTATAAGGTGGACCAACTCTCAAATAATATACCTTGCTTTAATTATTTTTTAGTTTAAATCATATTTGTCAAACCTGCTATTTGAAACTAATTACCATATAAATATCACATGTCATATTTTTCATTTTTTATGATATTATGCATGAATTAGATATATTATGGCGCATTCTTCAGAAAACATTGCATCTTCCACGTTGGAATCTGATAATTAAGATTTTGAGTAAGTGTTTACATAGTCTTCTTTTTCCCTACAAAGAGCCACCATTGATATCGACGCATCTGAGATTGTCAAATGTTCAGGAGTTCGCCTAGTCAACCCTTTTCCTTCTTCTTGTTACTGGATATCCTGAAAGCACACACTAGAATAGGAGGTAAATACCTCTTAGTTGCATACTCTGTCAAACGAGTCATTTTCTCGCCTACGAGCTATCCTATACTATCCTTCATAAATGAAATCCATAATTATATTTTTAATAAGATTCCTGCTAGAAGCATACAAGTATTGTAATGCACTTCTTCATGGATGTCTGGTAACCATGTATGAAAGGGTATACTAGGCAATTTGACAGCAAAAGCAATAAGAACTACTATATTTTTTATTTATGAATAAGAACTACAATATAGAATAATTCCAGAGCCACATGCATGATATGATTGATTAGCTGATGTTTCAAAATTAAATGTTGGCTGATTGGAACCATATAAAGTGCTCGTATTAATAAAAATAATAATTTATACGAAATATAACGTGTGTGCAAATTATAAGTTGGTGTATTTTATGTGATATTTGCACTCAAATTTTTATTAAACCGACGATATATATTACGCGGCGGTAGTGCCGCGCAACGTCAGTACTATTAAACAAAGATATGACGGATGCTGCCTTTTTTAGGGTATAGACGTATTATGCACCGGTAAACCGCTGACTTCGAGGAACAAAGTATATATGACAGAACAATGTTTTATTTGTTATTCGCGCCCGTTAAGTTATTTTCCAAAATTGTATAATCGTAATGGTTCGAACGGAATAATCTTCTACTAGATGTTAAATTGGTATACGGTAGTTGGCGATATAAAATGGTTGAATCACAATTAAATTACGGTTCCAAAATAAATATTCTAATGCAGAAATTTTCGATACAACTTCTAATACAATTTTACAATCCTAGATATTTACATAAACAGAGCAATCCTTGGCGCATGATTGTTCTCTCTAAAATTTCCTCTTTTTTCCTTTGTTTCTCAAATCTCAATTCATTGTTCAATATTTTTTTACATTGATAAACTCGTTGAATATGAATTGGAGCTGACAGAGAACTTATATGTTATGTAATTACGTCAATGTCGTTATTGGTGCTTTTGTAACTCGATAGAAGAGTTGGCTATTTTTTTGCAAGAATAACCACTCCATACCACCCTAGTATAGGAATGATATCTTGTGCTACAAAATGTTGAAAGTTGTAAATAACAGTTAATATATTTCTATTATTATGTATTCAATCATTTTACTGTTTGTTGTCTGGTATGTTCATACCATTATGATATATTTGCATACTACGTGGTAAGCTCTTATGTAGTAGCAAACAATGTCACCATGGTATAGACTGGTACTAAATGTCTCCATTTCTTTATTCCGAAAATATATCAAAATGAATATCATTTTAAAGTGCACAAATAATCCAATTTATTTGTGCAAAAAATTAAATTTTGACTAAAAACGAAAGAAATATAGTTTATTAAAATTTAGAGGAGAAAATGTTAGAATCCTTCAATAAATTATCATGCGGAAGATTTTGCATTATAGCTAACCAACATCCGTCCCAAAAAAAACCATGGTCCATGAAACCGTATCGTACCGGCGGTTCAACCACGAAATACCAGTATTGGAGGCTAAATCGGTAAGCGGTATTTAACGGTCTAAAAGTTGAACTACGGTTTAACCAAGATTTTATCATAAAATATCACACCGCTAACTTTTTTGATACGATATTCGGTACGATTTCATTTACGATGAAAAAACACAAGGTTTGTTCGTTTCTTAATTTAAAAATTAAAATGTCTGACGGTTTTATTTTATTGTATTATTACATTATTTTTGTCTCGTTAATGAGGCAAATGTGTATACATGTAACATGTGGACGGGGTTCGTGCTTACGTGTTTCCGGTGACATCATTTCATACCTATAAGATTAGAGTGGAGAATGACTATAATTTTATAACTTCATAAAGTGATTGGCTATTTAAATATCACTTTAAAAATTTTAATTATTATTTTCAATAAATAAAATGTAAATTTTTATCCTATTAATCAATTTATTTCAAAGAAAGAACACTTCCTTTTAGACTTCGAAGGAGGGATGACAAAAATATCCATAATGGTGTATACATTAGTGTTATCAAAACCGAACCAAACATCTATCCGGAATCACGAGAGGTTTCAGGTTTATCGACTAACTGTTGATTAATCTGTATTAAGAACCGGTCATAAACCGGTAATTTGCTCCATATAACTAATTTTCTTCATTCTAGTGATCAGTTATCGTACCTTTTCCCCCTTATATAATGTCAGTATACGTGTGAATGTTAAGATGTTAGGTTGAAGTGGTAAAGGAAATCTGTTATCCGTGGATATCCAAAACCATATAGAATATGGACATAAATTAAAATTTCATCTAATTTTTTTTTATGTGAGTATAAATAAGTATGGGTAAGAATGAAAGACAACGGAACTAACTGTGAAACGGCCGGCAGTAATTTTAATTAGTCAACTAACGAAACACTTAAAATTTTTAAAATAGAACCAAGGATTTGGACGTACATGGCTGCTGATATATCATCCGTATTTGCCAAAACAACATATATGTTCCAAATCCCCGGCACGCTGACGACACTTCGTAAAAGCGGCATGATATGAATAATAAGTAACCATTTAACTGTCAATTTGACTATATGTACATAAAAGCAAAAAAAAAAAAAAATTGTTAGCTTAATTATTACCACAACAATCCAAATGGTTTCACTGGTGCTCATCCTCCTCCTAGCTCTCGTCGCCGTCCGCCCTGCCAACGGGTTCCGCCGCAGTGTCCACACCGCCGCAGCTACCACGGACCCTCGTCCTCCGCCGTGGCGCCACCACGTCTTCCTCAGCCACCGGGGACCCGATGGCCGCCACACATTCACCGACCACCTCGACTCAGCCCTCCGACGCAAAAGAATCAACGTCTTCCGGGACGACCACGACCTCCCCCGGGGAGAAAACGTGACCGAGGCCATCTCACGCGCCATCGAGGAGTCCATGCTGTCCATCGTCGTGCTGAGCGGAGGCTACGCCTCGTCGGAGTACTGCCTTGACGAGCTGGTCAAGATCATGAACTGCAGGAAGGAGAACGGACACCGGGTTTTCCCCGTCTTCTACAAAGTGTCCCCGGACGAGGACGTCGCCGATCCGTCGTCGTCTGGGGTTTACAAGGCCGACTTGGACCGTCACAAGAGAAGGCATTCCTACGAGAGAGTGGCTAGCTGGATCCACGCTCTCCGATCCATTTCCCAAATCTCCGGTTGGGTCATCCACGATCACACGTAAGTTAATTAAACGATCAACGTACTATGTTATTTGGGTTCGTGTTCTGAGGCTGGTCTGTAACTGTTTTTTCCTTTATCTGATTGGATTAGGATTAGATCTTGGAGAAGTATTTTACTTCTTATACTTCTCTGTAATCTGTATCTCCTCAAAAAATATAAGTGAAACTGGCTCTCTGCTGCACGTGGACTAGCTAACACAAATTGTGTTAGTGAACCACGTAAACCGTGTGTCATGTGTGCGCTTTCTTTTTTTCTTGTATTGTCAAAAAATATAAGTGAAACTGGCTCTCTGCTGCACGGAAACAGTTGTATCATTATATTATTCTTTTCAGTTTTTCCTGTTTCTATTTACTAGCACTGTTTTTTTTGGAATATGCCTACTAGCTGTCACTGGTGGAGTTGTGCTTTGGTTTTATCGTGTTTCTTTCTGTGGTATATGGTATATAATTGAACCTTTTTCAATAATTCGAGTTATTTTGAACCCAATTGATTTTTGTTTTAAATTATTGAAATCAACTAGTTTTTGACATGTTATCAGAGACTTAGCTTCTGTGATCTAGAGACTCCATCTGTTCAATTAAGTAAATGATATCCGGATCATCTGGATTTCCGACTCCGTTGTTTTCGTCATTGCCTTTTTGCTTCACTAAGCCTTTTGAATGCCAATATTGGGTGCAGTTCCGAAGCTGTAATGGTGGAGAAGATAGCAGAGAACATGCGGCGGAGAGTGAACCATATGCTGCGTCAGGAAGAAGACCGCGATGGTCATAATGGCATTGTTATGATGTGCGATGCCATTGGAACGAGTGAATTATGTGGATGATTATATTAGATGCACACGGTAAATAGTTGGGGTGTTACATGTAATATTTCATTTAATATTTGAATTTATGTCTAATATTACTTTTTTTATCATTGTGTACATTACTATTGTATGTAGTACAACTGTACAAGTGTAGAAATAACATTTTTAGCTTGAACTATACTAATATCAAGTTTCGAAGTCGAATTTGTGATCAGTTTGCTAATGAAAATTCGTCATAGTTGTTTATGCAAACATCAATTGTATTAGTCGATTAATTCTTTATTTATATTAATTATTAATTATATTTTTATATTTTAAAAAGAGGACAGGGGTAGTTTCAAATCCTGCCTCCGCCACTGTCAACATGTTAATCTATCCCCTCGTCTTTACTTGATTATGTATAGTTTTTCTTCTCACATTGAGATTACATGTCATTCCAGTATTATCCAAATGGATGCTACTTGTTTATTGTAGTAGACCACTGATTAATATTTTAGCAAGTTTGTCTAGATTAATATGTTTTTTATGAATGTGTGAGCGTTTGTATTCATAAAAAAAAGTTGAGGGTCCATAAAAAATGGACTAACTCCAGAATACAGCAACAGAAGTTACAGTATAAAGAGCAATAGATGTAGAAGTAGAGCTAGTATGACATGTTGTTACAAGCTTAACGAGGTTGAAAAGAAGAGATATAATTTTTCTACAAACTAAAGAGTAAAGAAGGCTACTTTGATATGTTGAGATAAGAGTGTGAAGATTCACAAATACTTCCACTGATTTTGTTGAAGCTAGTATGACGAGTTAGCTCGATTGATGGTGAAGTTGTATTGATTTACTAGTTGCAACTACAAGTGTTGAGAGAGCTTTTTCAGTTTTGGGTTACATCAAGAACAAGTTTGAGAATCGAAATAAGTGATCAGTATGTGAGAATCAATAATGATTGTCTAGTATGATATACTGCATATATTATTTTAGCACTCTACGCAGCGAGTGTAGTTTACAATTCTTTCAGAATATGAAAATACATAGTGACTTTTGTTGTAACTTATACTAATAAGATATTTTCTTATTGATTTTCTAATTTAATAGTTGGAAAGGAACACTTTTATAAAAAATGGATGATCTTCCACTGATTTGGCCAAGAGCGGTTCTCATTCATAAATTAAGGGTACATAACCATTCATAACCCTGTAATTACCATAGTACCATTTATAGGAGGGTACTAACTATCCCTCTAATAAATTTTAGCGAGCTATATATCTTTCGTTTTAAGTAGAAATTAAAATATGAAAAAAACATATTAAGCGTGTTCTTCAAAATTATACCACCTTCTTCAAAAAAACATATTAAGTTTTAGAGCGCAATTTTGACTACATTGGTATATACATAAGATTATACCACCTTCTATGGAAAGTGTATCATGATGGATTGAATAAACCAGAGTGTAGAATGATTTCATGCATGATTGTAGAAATATATTCACCGTTATTTACCATCTTTTATCAACGTAAACCACCAGTTACCACCATGCACTAGGGTGGTACTTTTTTCCTGAAAATATTTTTCCAAAAAATTGTATATCTAATAGATTACGATGAACTCATTCATTCTGGACAAAACTTTTAAAATTTGAGTTAAAAACAAAGATTGTACCAAGGGTGATAACGAGTAGTATGAAATTTTTTTTGCTCAAAATACATTGAAAATTGATATAATTTTATAATTAACAACGAACATGTTCCATATGTGTAAAAAAAATTTGAAGCCAAAGATAGAACGAAGAAGATGAAATATGCACAGTGAGTTCTTGTTATAACTTGATGTTCATTAGTATTTTTTTTTAATTTAATTTTTGGAAAACGAACACGCTTATATAAAGTTCATATGTCAGCCACCGATTTGGCCCCTTATCTTCAATTATAAATGATAATCGTATCATAAGAGGAAAGCAAGCTTATAGTACCTACTACGGTACGATTTCTAAATCATTGTCAAAGAGCCAAGTATTAAAAAAATCATCATTACACCAGATACAATGTATAAACAACCTAGAGAATTCCATCTGTCATAAGTCCCCGTATTCGCCGGGTCACAGTAGAGACAAATATTTTATATTATTATTAAAAAAAAATGCCCCAAATCTGTTCGCTAGATTGATAGGTCCGCAACTTGTATTTATCTTCATTTCTTTTTGTCATTTCCTTAGTTAATAAAATGACAGTAACATTATAGATTAAACAATAATCCCGCAGAGACAGTGACGGCAAAAGCGACAGTGTACAAAAATGTAACAGGAATTTTGTTACATAATCAAACAAAAATCCACCTGACTCTTCGATATGTTTTTTTTATACAATGACTCTTGGATATGTTGAAGGGGATAAAATAATAGTTTATATTGATAAACTAATATGTTTGAGGGGATAACATAGGACTACTTTCTATCTAGAAGATCAGGACAAAGCGTGTTTCTGTATATTAAATAGTTTCCAAGTAAGTGGCGGGAAATCTTCTTACAGCGTGCATGCATGGTCACCAAGACGAAGTAAAAATCAGAGAAGTAAAGCAGTAAACGGTGTATAAAATACAGGCAGGAGATCCTTAGTCTGTTTAGTCAAATAACCAATTCAATCTCTACTGGTTATTAGATTAAGAATTATAAATTCAATTATGAAATTAAGAGATAAAAATAAATTCCCGCTATACAACACATACACAAAAATATTCCAAACAATTGGAGTCAAAAGGCAATTTATATTAATCACCGATAATATAATGGACCAGCCGAGAAATGCAATAAAGGGGTCGTTTGGAAGTTGCGATTGTTAAATAGATGTATTGTTAAGAATGCATGTATAATATTATACATGTATTGTCGAATTTGATGCATTGTAGAATACAACGTTTGGTATGTGTGATTGTGTATGTCGCATTAGCTAAAAACTTAGACAAAACAATCTCAACTCAACTATCTCAACAATCACAACTAAAAGTTGAGATATAACAATCACTCAAAATGAGTGATAGTTTCTGTCACATCAGAGAAACAATCCATGTATTGTTTCTGCTAAAAAAACAAAAAAACGATGCATTGTAAACAATACATGCATAATGACAATCTCAACAAAACAATCGCAACTTCCAAACTACCCCAAACAGCAGAAGCAAGCACTTGGTTTAATATCAGGATACATATAGGTAGGTGACCAATGCGAGTCGTTACTTCAGACAAAAAACGGAAAGGGGAATTGAGCAAGCAAACAGCTGGTTGAGCAGCCATGGACGGTTTCCCAACTCCTGCCCAGTTTCGACTTTCGACCTCTTCACATAATCCTCAATTAAATCTGTAGTGGCCACTCGATGGTTACTTTACGTTGTTAGTGTATGGTATAAGATTTATTATGGAACCTCTCCCAACAACTCGAGTTATTGAGACCAATTGATTTATCATATGGTATCAGAGCCTTCTATTACCGAAAGGTCCTATGTCCGATTCCCGCTCACCCCTACTTGTGAATCACATGGTATTCTTGTGTTTAGACCTGTGCAAACTTCAACCTCTTATGAGTGACTTTCGGGACCAACTGGTTTGTGATCCACGCCACCGCACCATCAAAATTCAGGCGTTGCTCTTCGCCTGTTTCCGAGGAATCCCCGGTCGAACCAGAAAATGATGTCGCCGGCCGGTGTATGAGTGATAGAATGTTGGATGCCGGTAGCCTGGAATTCACGTTGTATATCTTTCTCGACGTCACCGTCTCCCCCACCTAACCGTGCATGCATGCAACGTTCACGTTAGCCAATTAAATACCGTTTGGAGGTTCATGAATATATATACCAGAAGATCACCGTTTGAATATATACCAAAATGTGAGTGTAGCGGTTTTTTGGCTGCATATCGCTACTCACTCCAGCAATAAGTCCTACTTAATTTGCTTGTGTGGCGAGCGATTAATACAAATCGTGTTTGATTTCGGTGATATATTATACCTGATCGTTTTGAATACCAGTAAACTGCACCAAACTCTAGTAGTTCGACAAATTTTGATGTGTGTATTTGTATGTTGGGAATTAGTTTTTGTTAACCTTTCGGAGAGAAAATTAGCATGGTGATCCAAAGCTCCTGCGTCATCACAAACGCCACTGTGGTGATGAGGAAACGACATCCTAATTAAGGCTTGGTGATGAAGAACAAG